TTTTTGCAAGCCCTTAGCAGCCTTGCTTGAGGATCTTCTCTAATCACAGGGATTTGTTGGGGATACACACACTTCAGGATGAAAAAGACAAAGAGTTAGTGTACCAGGCACAGTTCTAAACTAACAAACAATGAGAGGTGCTGCATAAACACCTTACTTCCTTGCCTTCATCTGGGACCACTCAGTGAACATGGTTCCCCACTTCTGAGATCCTCATCGTGACTGAGCCACAAAGGTGCTGGTGGCTGCACTGGCTGGCTTTTCATTGCAAGCTCACTTCTCATCTCTTTTACATCAGCTCCTGAGATTGCTCAAGTAAAAGAGTTGCTTCCAATCCCTTGTCTAAGAGTCTGCTTCTGAGAGTCCAAGTTAAGAGACTGCCCTGTCTGTGCACCCTGACATCACTTTAACCAACTAAAATGTGATTGTCTATATCCTTTGGTGAACTCTCGAGGGCAGGGACTGAGTTTTTATCTCTGTATCTTAAACTATGGCACAGCATATGGCACATAAGAACTGTGCAGGAGTGTTCAGTGGCTGCTGTTTAATGGGTGAGTGGAGCTTGGTTTAAAACTCGTCAGCTGTTGTAGGGCAAGGCTGCTTGGACAGATCCTGCAGGTAGGTTTTTAGGAAAGAGAATAGAGACAAGTCTGAACTCTTAAGAGGGCAGGCTTGGAGCACATGCTAAAGGAAGTATCCCTGGACACATTCGGATGTCAAAACATCCCTGAGGGCCTGCTGTGGAAATGTACATGGAGCCTTCTGGAAGGAAGGCAAAGATAATTAGAAGGGATGTCAAGGTTTCTGAGACAGGGTTTTGTCCATCACCTTTCTGCCTGGAGCCAGCCTTGCTTATAACAGGAAGAGATGCTTTGTTGAGTCGGGATTTATTTGAAGTCAATCAGGAATGTGGTTTTAAGGGGAATGGTGATGTGGGGAAATGACAGTAGCATCCTATACTCAGACAATCATTGAAAGCAAATAGGTTCTGACACTATTGGCACATTGTCATACTGCTCTACTGTTGTGCCCTATTAGGAATGCTCTATTAATATATTGTCCCCAGGAAAATAGCTCTCTCTTGATTCCCTACACAATTTTTGAGGATCTACAACATAACAATTACTATGGCAGAAGTTGGGAGATGAAAAATGATGTTTATCACCCAGAGATATAAAGCATAATAGTAGAGACAGACACACAGACTCAAAAATAAAATATGATAAAGACTGAAGGTTAGTAATGTGCCAGCAATCTTAAAAGCACAAGGAGATATATTCAGAGACTACCGTGGGATGTCAGCTAAGGCCTCTTTGAGCTTCCACTTTCCAAACATTCTCAAAGGGAATGTTTTCCCAAAGATAAAGATGCAAAGCAAGGGGAAATGAAATCGAAATGCAAGGTCATAAACTATCAAGGTATGTTTTGGGAATGAATAAACATCTTGTCATAGCAAAAGCAGAGTAGGTAGAGAGAATCAGTAGAGACTAAGGCTGGAATCAGAGTGTTCATGTTTGTTTGTGCCACTGGGTGGTAATCTGAGGAAGCCCTTAGGCCCTCAGAATAATTTGCATCATATTTAATTAAAATCAGAACAACAGAATAAACTGATAATATATGCACTTTTTCATTAACACATTAAATAACAAGACCTTGTTATAACCATGATAGCTACCGTAATGTTAACCAATGGTGAGTATAAATGATTTTTATTTCAGGAAAACTGTCATAGTGTCCCATGATAGGAAAATATTTATAATTTCCATGAGTGAAAGAGTCACAAATATTAATGTTACTATTATGGTCTGTTGCCTACATGCATAATTTAAGGAAATAATTAGTTCCTGCTATTCCTTTAAAAAGTAAAAATTAGAACTTTTCTCATCAGAACTTATAGCCCTTCTGGATTGGGTTAAGAATCCTCAGGTGAGAAATCCTCTGATATGCAAAAGAGTTTAGATTTTTATCTACAAGTAAATAGGAGCTAGTAAAAATTTTCAAGGGAGATGCATTAGATTTATTACCTGAGATAATCAGCTTATAAAGAAGAAGGATTTATTTTGCCTCAGAGTCAGTTGCTTAGCCCCATTGCTTTGGGTCTGTGGTGGCAAAGTACATCATGGCAGGAGCACATGGTGGAGGGGGTCTGTTCACCTCAAGCCATCCAGGAAGCAAAGAGAGAGAGAGTTTATTTGGGGTCCCAAGGACATGTCTTCTCCAAAGGCCCAACTTCCTCCCACTAGGTTTCACCTCTAGAAAGCTCTACCACCTCCTATTAGCGTCACACATTGGCAACTTAACCTTCAATATATGGGCCTTAGGGGGACATTTAAAATCCAAATTAGACCAGGAGATTGCTGTGATTGTAGTGTTTTAGAACCACCAGTGTGGCCACACCCAGGGTTCTCCAGTCTAAGACCTCTGCATATGGCATGGGGTGCAGCATCAAGCTCCCAACATTCAGACTGGAAAAAGACAGAGGAGGAAATTTTCCTTGAGAGTCTTTTAGCCTGATTCCCTTAGCTTTAGCTCTTCTATTTCCTCCAGTAAGTGCACAGTGCTAAGCTTGGGCTAGAGTGAGGAAACCAAGGTAGAGTGTGGTACATCTTACTAGAACATCAAATTCCATTTGCTTTGTCAAAGAGAGCTGAAGTGTGGAAGAAAACCAGAGTTTCATATAACAAGAGTTGTGAAGTGAAAGGGAATATTCCTATTCCCTTCAGGTTTTAAAAAGCTGTTCCTTCTCCCCCTGCCCCCCCCAAAAATACCATTTTGGTGTGCCCCTACCAATGTAATACTCAGGAAGACATATTCATTTTGTCTTTAGATACTTTTCAGTGATACTAGCCAACAGCCATTTGGATCCACTACTATGTAATTTGTTGTCAGCATATCAGATATACATTTAATACATAAAATTCATCACCTGAAGTAGCTACATATGTAACATATATATGTATATTAAATATTATGAAATGTACAGAGCTATGAACACAATTGAGTATTGATTGACATAGTTATTTTCTCTTCTGGGAATTGAATTATCACAGATCAGGTTGATTTTACATCCAAGAATGGCCTATGTTTAATATTATTTGTAGGTAAGTGTGTATTCTGATTTGCCTTTATAATAGTCTCCTAAAGATTTTCCTTTTCTTGTTGATGAAAGAATTTTCATATTAAGAAAAAAATTTAAGAATTCAGAACAAGATCTTTGTTCTTTCTACTTCTCCTTCTCAATCATACTTTTCAGCAAAACTGAAATTGAAAGTATTCCCTTTTCTTTCTTATTTTTGAAAAATAACATAATAATGTTCACATAATTCTCAGTAATGAACTTCCTACACTCTTATTTTTCTTTCTATAGATAGTCATGACAGTTTATTAGATATTCCAAACCTATGAATTTTTAAAAATATCATATACTTTTTGTTAGCCAGATGAAAAATATGAATTGAGCCAATTTCAATAATTTATATATTGCACATAAAACAGTTATTTGTTTCATTGTCTTAGTTTACTAATTTATAATTATGGCTATACTTCAAGGAATTGTTATAGAGTTTAAGAATAAACATTGTCCATTGGCAACAAACTGTCATCAAATAGCTTTGTGACTAACAAAAGAAGCATGACACGTGGGATCAATAGATTAATTTACTTGTATTGTAAATTTTTGGATGGCTGTGTAGTTTTGTTCTCTTTTTAAAAATCATACCTTCCTCTGTGGTAAACTTGAATTTATACAATGTGGACAGAATAATGTAAATGAGGAATGGGGAAGAAATTACAACTAGGGGCAATTACTTTTGATTTATTTAAAGTTTTATACATTCATTTTCAATTATATATTCAAATGTTGAATAAATATTTTAAAACACTTACTATGTGCCATGCCTTGTGCTAAGTACCCTTGGTCTGATTTATTCCCTTGCTTCAAAATTAACACTTTTGTCACTGCCCAGTGTTATGATTCCCTATCCGGTCACCCTTGCACTGAAGAGGGATGTCCCCCATGCTTCTCTGCATATTCAGTTGGATGGCTTTGATTCTTATCTTCTTTGTGTTTCACTGTCTATTATAGGTACCTAATTCTGTCTACTCAAAAACCTTCCAGGATCTCCATATCCTTAACAGTTCTCAGTCTGAGGAAGCCCTTTACAGAAATAAATACAGTTTTTAAACACATCATTTAATCCCAGCAATCAGAGTCCCTAGATAGAAAGAAGTATGTAGTGAATGTTGTCAGTGCCCCATATGGTTCCCTAGGCCACTTCCTGGGCCTTTGTGTCATCCCCTACTACCATGTGTGGTGGCTACTCACAGTCCACATCAAGACTCTTTCCTAGACCATTACACTTGGCCAACAAGATCATCTTCATCCAAGATGCTCCACTCACAGGCAATGCCTGACCGAGAAACACAAAACATTGACCACTTGTCTGGGAGACAGCTGATGCTCCAGACCTCTCCCTTGATACTAGGCTGAGTACATGCCAGCCAAGACCGCAGCCTCACTTGGTCCCTAACCGTGCTGACTGTGCTTCCCTGAAAGTTCTCCCTGGAGAAATCATGAGCATCCAGATCCCTGCCTCAGGCTTTGCTTTTAGGAATCCAACCTAAGACATTGAGAATAATGCCAGGTTTGGCCTTCCTCACATCTCAGGCCAAAGTATCCCAACCTGGACCGCTTGACTTTGCCCTTACTCAAACAGAGTAATGGGCAGGGTAATGACTGACATTTCATTCAACAAGGAACCACATAGGCAGCAGTGGTCCCATAATATGATGATCAAGCTGAAAATACCTATGGCCTAGTGATATCCTAGCCACTGTAGCACCATAGCCCAGTGTCTTACTCATGTGTTTCTGCCAATGCTGGTGTGAATAAGCCCTCTACACCGTCAGTCCTTCCTATAAAAGTGTAGCACATGTAATTCTGTATTAAACATAAGACTTAACATTAAAGAAACAACTGTGTTACTGGTTTATTTGCTGTACTACACTGTTCATCATTATTTTTAACATTACTCAACTGCAAGACATGTTGTGGGAAGCCCCACAAAGGGACACATGTAAGAAAGCTTATATCTTACTCTTCCACTGGAATTGATTGCCAGATTCAGCAACTTTAGTACCCATGGAGTCTCAAGTTCTTTTCTGGTGGGAGAATGGGGAAAGGGTTCAGTTCCACATAAATCTATTATATCCATGTATTTTAGAGAACAGAGACTTTCTCAAGTTAGGCTAAAAAAAAAAAACTTAACTATTCTTGCCAGAATTTAAGTTACTAATAGGTCTGTGTATAAATTGACCCTAATCCTGGACTGCTAGGGGTTGTGGGAAGTCATGACAAATACAACATTGAGTTCCCATTCAGTAGAACTGTGAGCAGGGGCAAACTGCCCAAAAAGGGCCTGTGGGACTAAATGTCCCATGTAAAAACTGTAATGCAGTACACTTCTAAAACTAGGACTCCTCAATTTTATTATTGTAAAAACAGGTATTTGGAAATGCTAGAAATCAGGGAAACTTATTAAACCAGTCAAATAAATTTTAGGGAAATCATACACTACTGATGTTTCCTCAGACACCATATAAAGTCCAAGGCTTCCAAGATGAACTGAAGCTATGCAGAAGCCACATATAGCCATTTACATTGAATAAAATTAATTAAAATTAAATAAATAATTCAGTTCCTTAGTCAATAGCTACTCTATTGACCACATTAATACATTTCAGCCATGTATATCATTAAAGAAAGTTTTGTTGAACAGCCTTTACTTAAGGAAGAGATTTGAAAGATTTATTATTTTTTGACTTTTTTCTTTTTTCCAATAAATATAATAAACATACGTTGAGTCTCTTTCCTGGAAACACAGTATGGAAGAGGTGCCAGGTTCCCTCCATCTGTTATAACAGGAAGGCGAGCTGGTATTTTAGTTATTTTAAATGTAATAAGATGTCAGACATGCTAAAAACACTCTGTGTTCTTCAATGTTAAGATATCTTTTATGACCACGTAATTCTTCCTTTTGTATGGGCAGTAGTTCTGCACAGAAAACATGAAAGTAGAGGGAAAAGGAGGTAAGTATTATTTTTTGGTTCCATGCACCATGGAATCAGAAAAGGCCTCATGTATATTCCAGTGTGCTTTCCCCATCTATAGCACTTGCATTTGCTTCATAAATTATAGATGAAACTATTTCTACTCAAGAGTTACCAAATGAAGACTACAGTTCAAGAGCCACCAGTTTTTATGTATACCTACCACCTGGTTATGTGGGCAAAATAAAATAAAACTCACTATTAAAAGTTTGAAGTTGAGCAGATACTTCATGCATTTTGTTTTTTGAATTTATTGAGTGTCTATTATATTCCAGGATTTCAAATGTTTTAAATAAAGTGATCATTAGTGCTGACATATATCAGCCATTCATTAAACATTGCACATATACATGGATTCCATTCACAATAATGGTTGAGTCAATGTGGTTTGGGATAAAATTTCTCATGGAAATAATTTTTTAAGTTGATATATTCAACCCTAGCTAAATTAGTCCATAATAAAAGCTGATTTAATCCATAATACATGACCATTTTCAGCATGATTTCCATAAGAAAATTCAATTCTTTCTTCCTCCACTTTTGGTTCTCTCACTTTATTATTTCATTTGTTTCTTCCTTCAACAAATCATATATTTAAAGCCTAAAAACCAAGTTGTCTGATCTATCTCTCCACAAGATGTGGCTAGTTTTCATGTAAGGATTAGGTCAAGGCCCATTCTGAAATCAGAGCTACCTTTATGAAGACATATGCTTACCCAGATTTCTTCTCATAAGGTAAATCAGAAAGCACAATTGGAAGTAGCTGTGTAGCCAGTTCTCAGTGCCCAAACCAAATACGTACTTAGTATGTCTTAAAAGGTATGTTACATATATTGTTTTACAGCATGTGTAATTAAAATTACAGCCAACTCATGGCAAATGCCTTTTACTGTAGAAATTTCCACTGATTCTACAATTTGTACATGACTGAATTTTGTGTTTCATTATACATGAAGGTATGAAAGGAAATCTTGAATATGTCCTGGCTGCTAAGCACTGACTAGCTCCTGGAAGTGGCAGAGCTGATTTACACAATGACTTTATTGTGCCTTCCCCAACACAACACAAACTAGGACATAAATAGATATACCCTTTTGTTTCTACATTTAACAGATGCAGTTTCTCCAGATCAAATTAGCAGAACTGAAAGTATCTCAGTAAGTTTTCCCAGTAGAACAGAAGTTATTATATCTGCCAAGTAAATGGTACCTGATGTCCAGAAACAGCCAATCCCATTTCTGAAAGATGTTTTTGTTTATTAGCTGGAGCACACTAATAACAGCATGTAAAAGTATGGTTTCCACTCTCAGTGTTATTGTCTCACAAATTTCATGCTTTTGCTTTCTGAGTGGCCAATTACATTTTGCTGGTCCATTCATTAACTCTCAGCCTAATGCTGGCCATTTTTTGTTGTCATAAAAAAAAGGCAAGGGAAGAAGAAGGAATGGTTCTTTCCTTCTCCTTGTAGAAATGCGGCATTGCTGGAAACAAGTAGGTATAATTTCTATATGTAAGTGTAATCATTATATTTTCCTTCTAGGTGTGAAGGACTTAAATTTAGGCAAGAGTTGATTCCCTTTCAGCTGTATAGTCAACAGACCAAAAAGGAAAAAAAACCCGAAAATGTATGACCCAAGATTTTCCTTGAAAAGACCCAGGATGTAGATGTTTACATTGCTTTATGTTTGGGTTTCTACCACCCCTTGGGTTGGTTTTATTTGTTTTCAGATGAGTTTGAGAGTTCATGTGCTGTTTTCTTAAGGTGGTATGAGGGAGCTACTATTGTGGATTCTTAGAGATCCTCAATATTTGACTAATCTTACTAAAGGACAGAAAAACGTTAAGAAAAGTTACAAAAAATTCTATTTCTGAGAAAGTTATGGAAATTCTACTCAAATTTCTACCTCCCCAATTCTAATCTATTTGATGTAACTATAAACTATATATTCAAAGTGGGTGTTCTTAATAATAACAAGCTAATATTCCTTAAATGATTTGAGATGCTATTAAATATGTTAAGTTGGAAATATTCAGAAAATTTACTAATAGGTGATTCAACAATTGATCATTTTCACATGTTGTCATATGAGAATATATAAATATATACAAATCTATATACATGTACATGATGGGCTTTAAATAAGGAGATGCTATGTTTCAGTGATGTACTACTATGTAGTAAACTACCCCAAAACTTCATGATTAAATTGTTTTTATGTATCATGATTTTGTGGGTCTGGGTTTTGGGCAACACTTAGTGATTCTTTTATTCTATATAGTGTTGATAGCGATCCCTTAGTGCTATGCAACTAAAAGACAGTTTACCTCTGTGTGTGGACCTTGGTGGGAACAGCTGGAAGTTTGAGCTCAGCTGGGACTGGCACTTGGAGCACCTGCACGTGGCTGTTCTGTAAGATGACTTCAAGGTAGTTGGAATCAGTACTCTAAAAACAAATGTTTCCAGCAAGAATCAATGAGACTACTAGTGGCATAAGACCTGAGCCCAGAAATTAGCAAAGCCTAATTATTCCACACTCACTGTAGGCAGCCCATATTTAAAAGGAGAAGAATTATACTCTATATGTTAATGAGAGGAACATAAAAATTGCAGCCATGTTTAATCTGTCACACTCTGTGCTGTCACCAAGACAAAGGAATATGAATTAGTAGTGAAGAATGCACCAAAGTAATGTAGCTGGTTATCTGTGAGACTTCCACATCCTCATCTGAAAACTAGGAATGGTAATAATATTTATCACATCTCACTGATTTGTGATAAAAACCAATGTGATAAACAACATAACCTATACATACACACAGGAACAACCACACATAAAAAACACTAAACACATTTTTGGCCTTATTTGTAATTTTTCTTATAGTTTATCTGAGGTTGTGCTGGGGAGGTAGTGGATAAGGAATATTGTGGCCAGGAGGAAACATTATGGCCAAGAGTGAGCAGGCCTCTTTGAGAACAGGAAAAATGAGTATCATTGATCAAGCAACGTAATGCCATAACTCAAAATCCACTATTTCTTACTTGAATTTTACTCTTGTCCTATTTTTTGTTAAGTCTTTATTTGGCTTAATTTTTGTTGAAAAGTTTTTTAAATTCACATTGCACTGATAGACGGACGATGCTTGCCCTTTCATTCCTTCTGTCTCTCTCACCAGCCTTCTGCCTGCTGCAAGGAGCGTCCTGTGGACAGTTAGCATGCCGCTTCCTATTTCTTTCAGTGCAGTGGATGGCTAATTTAATTATGCACAAGCTCTTCGCTGTAAAGAAACGTGTGTATAGAAATGTTTGTTAAGTTGTATTGGATTCTTTCTCATTTGTGTTTCTCTGAGAGATAGCACTGAATTCTTCTTTCCTGTCTTTCCTTTTATCTTTTTCTACTCATTTACAAGTAAATACACAGCACTTTCTTAGTCGGTTACTTGAGGCAAAGGCAAAGAAGCTTAATACATGCAATTTATGAAACAAAATGGAGGTTTATGTCTCTCTCTTAATAACATAGGGCATGAGGCAAGCTTTGCTCCATAACATAATCCAGAGATCCAGGCTGAGAGTCTATGGCATCCTGAAGATGTGATTACCAAGGTTCTAAGTCGTGGAGGAAAAAAACTTGGAATCAAGCCCAGGGCAGGTATCTCTGCTTCTTTAGGAAATTGACTTAGAAATTGCACATGTAATTTCCATCTATCTCAATTGTAAGAATTTAGTCACATGGTCTACTCTAGCAGCAAAGGAGTCTAGGAATTATAGTTCTAAATAGGCAATGATGTGGCCAGGATGAAGGGACTTGAGGGGCAGAAGGGTGCAATGTGGGACAGTTAACTGTATCCCACATATTTTTGCTGTTTTTACACTACTCAAATTTTAATAACTGATACCCCATTTGTCTGTGCCCCACTATTTGTACTACCAAGATGTGTCTCCCATGCCCAATTTTGAAAGAATGTTGTTTATTAAAACATCTTGACATTTATGGGTCAGGACTATGTCTCATTGAATATTTTTCTGATTTTAAATGTCCTTTAGCCCTGTATTTATGAGGCTGTGATACATAACATGAAGCTGGAAGCTAGGACCATTTATTTTAGATAATAACTATCAACCATGCATGACTATAGCCTCTGGTAGTGCCAAGGATGCAAGATGATAGCTCTAGAATAATGAGGGTGAAATAATTAAAAACAACAGCAGCAGAAAATCTCAACAAATGAAATGATGTTCTATATGATTTAAAGGATATCTGACCATACTCCATTATCTGTGTAAGATATTTGTTTTAGGGTTGATTATACAGTAGAGATATTATAATATTGCAATTTTCCACCACTCAGTACAGATCTTATTACTTCTCGAAGTCCTAGTTCTCAAAATATCAAAAAATTATGGAGTTTTAGAGCTTCATGGAATCATTAGAAATCTAATTTCCTTACAAAAACCATTGGAGATTGAAGCATCTCCTGTGATCAGCTTTCTCAAGACCAAGAGAGGGTGTCAAACCTTTTGGAGAGATAAGAGGAAATACTGGGTTTCATTCAGTTTGGTTGAAAGCTTTGTAGGCTTATTTAGAACCTATAAATTGTCTTTATCCAGGCTTTATCCAGTGAGATAATTGAGTTTCAAAGAAGAGTGTTCATTCTTTTAAGCTACTCATTTGTCTGGGGCTTTTTCCATTGTGTAGCTGGACTCTGACAGAAGGGACTCCTTTGCCTGCATCTGACCTATCTGTAAAGTCCTCTCTGATAAAATAAAGTATGCACTCATTTGTAGCTGGATTTTTTCAATTAACATTATGTTTGGAAAATTCATCAAACATTTCTACATAGTTCTTTCTAATTGCTATGTGGCATTCCATTGTGAGAATATATCACAATTTATTTATGTATCCTGCTAATGGATGTGGGGGTAATTTCCACTTTGGAAATCTTAAACAAGTAGCCAATGAAGTCCAGTTGCATGCAGAAAAGTAGAACTGTTAAGCAGTAACTTCAAATGTCCTTTTCATTCAGAAAGCTCCTGCCTTCTCCAACTGAGGGAATATATTTTAAATTTGAACTTCTCGTTGGTAATGTAATGTTCCTGTCTTTCTTTACATAAGAACTCAGGGAAAAAAGTACCCTTCTGGATATGGACTCCAAAATGTGGTCTTGCCTTATATTTGCAAAGGAAAGGGCAATCTTTGCTGAGTTTACATATTTCATAATTCCGACATTATAGAAAGTAGTAACAATAGATCCTTTCCATTTTAAAGGAGACAAAAATACCATAATTCTCCAACTTGCCCAAATTAAAGAGTAGTAATAAGTTGGAGGGAAAAAGTGCATTTTGGCATATTTTGCAGATTTGAATTTCAAGGAATTATTATTGTGATAACAGAGAAAGGGAAACGACAATACTATTTGAATAACCCTCTCTAGAAACTTCACATTAATTACATTTGAGACACAGCATTAAGATGCAGAAACTACGAGTTATTATTCTGGCAATATTTCCTTCCTTGAGGTAATCTTCCCAGGCCAATAAACTGCCGGCCACATAGTGGGGCTGCTTCACAGGAATATAAAACTTCTAAACTAAAATTGAGTTTTGGTAGAAACAAAACATTCCCCCAAACCACTGAAAATTTTACCATTACAATAGTTTGCCTTTATTAATTTATATATTTGAAGGAGAAAAATCCAATCTACCATAATATATCACAATAGATCTCATTTTAAAGCTATAATTTTATTAATAATTTTGCTGACTGTCTCCCTTAAGGGTGTACAGCTGAAAATTTGCATAGTCACTAATGATCATCATAGTCATTACTTCATAATTGTATTTTGTTTCTTGCTTTGCTAAACATAATGTGAAAACCATATATTAGAAGCCAGTAGAGTTTGACATGAGTCCTATATAACAAAGGTTAACTCATTAAATATTATAACAACCCTTTGACGTAAATTGTTATTAGCTTCACTTTGTTGATGAAAAAGATGAACCATGAAGAGACTCAGTAACCTGTCCCTGTGAGTGGCAAAGCTGGGAGCTGAGCCCAGAAAACTGGATGTAGGCTTCACCTTACCTGTTTTCCTTGTTCCCTTTGCTGCCTAAGTTCTCACCACTGCTGTGCCTACAGTGCTTGGTACACATTAAGCACATTAAAATTTTGAAGGAATGATTAGCACATTTGAGGAAAATATCTGAAGCCTGGGTTCTCTGTTTCCCTCTCTTCCCCTGAGGAGCTGTATGTGCAACAGGATTCCTAATAAACAGAGTCTGGGGCAAGGATTCTGCACATGATTGACACACGCCTCTCTCCCTGTGGATTGTCCCTTTGTTAAAAGCATCAAAAGATACAGTGTTTCGGAAGGACCAAAAGAATAGGTTTTTAAATTCATTGGAAAAAAGGAGGACTAATATACTGTATATTTCAAATTAATTAAGTGTATATTTTAAATGTGTCACCATAAAAATTGAGAGTTAAACAAGGTGATAAATACACTAAATATCTGATTTACTCATACTGCATTATATACATATATCAAAACATCACACTCTACCTCACAAATGTAAAAATTATGATTCTTCAATCAGATATAATATTAATTTTTTTTAAAACCAACCTGGTTAATCTACAAATTGGCTTTATCAAGGAAGTATTGTATCCTGGTGACTATTCCTTAAATATTTGTTGATCACTTGTGATATGCCAGGCACAGATAAAGTGCAGATCAAATTAAGGGATTTGTGACTTGCCAGGAAAGACCCACTTTGCCTTCCAACAGTATTGACTAGAAAGAAAAATAATCTAGGCCAGTGAAGGTGAACTTTTTAGAGCTTTCAGTGACAGCAGCTCATTGCAGCATGTGTGCCACAGGTTCACCACCACTGACTGAGCTTTCTTAAAGTCAGGTTGCCAGAATTTTAAAAACTTTATCCATACATGGTTTTATGAATTGAATTATGTCCTCCCAAAACTTATGTATTAAAGTCATAGACCCCAATACCTCAGAATGTGACTGTGTTGGTGGGATTATAGGAACTATTAAGTTAAAATGAGCTCATTAGAGTGAATCTCAATCCAATATAACTGGTGTTCTTAAAAGAAAAGGAGACTGGAACACCGTCACATACAGAGAAGTCATTGTGAAGTCACAGAGAGAAGACAGCTATCAACAAGCCAAGAATACAGGTCTCAAAAGGAACCAACCCTGCCAATGTCTTAATCTCAGTCTTCTAGCCTCTAGAAATGTGAGGGAATTTTTTACTCTTGTTTAAGTTACTTATTGTGTGCTATTTTGTTAACATTGCCCTAGCAAACTGCTACCTATGTTTTTCTTTCTGTATTAGTCAGATTTTCACCATTTTGACTAAGTACCCAACAAATATAACTCAAAGGAGAAATTATTTATTTGGGTTCATGGTTTCTGAAGTTTCAGTTCATCGTCATTGGCGCCATTGCTTTAGGCCTGTGGCAGGGCAGAAATATCATAACGGAAGAGCATCATGGGGGAAAGCTGCTCACCTGATGGCAGCCAGGAAGCAGAGTGAGAAGGAAACAACCAGAGAGGAAGAGGGTGGGGCCAGATATAATCCCCAATGTCACACCCCCATGAGTCATTTCCTCCATCTAGACCCCACCTTCTTTGAGCCCATTCAGCTATGAACTCATCAATGCGTCAACCCATGCAATCACCCCTTTAAGTCCCTTTTAGTTCAATCAAACTGACAAGATTAACTGTCACACACCCTATTATTTCCATATCTGACCATCTGTGCCACAGAACTGCTTATATTTGTGCAAAATGATCCATGCACTGAGAGTCTCATCTGGAGTGTGGTTTGTAAGAGCAAAAGAAAACTTTAAATGTTAGTCAATAAAAGAATCAATAAATGAATTACAGTACATTCTTTTTATTAAAACTATAGAGATTTTGACAAGAAACAAATATTGCTAATATATGTACTCATATGGGAAGATAGCCAATATTTGCTTTGTTCTTTTTTTAACATAACATCCAAACTAGGTTAAATGACACCGAAAGCAAATCCTGAATAGTGTACATAATGTGGTCACATTTATGTATTAAAATTTAGATTGTTTTCAGGAACAGCAAAAATAAACAGAAAAATGTCCAGGTTTGTGATACCATGATGGAAACACCTGTAGTATTTGAATTTTAGCTTTGTATGCTCCTTTATTGTTTGAACTGTACACAACCAGCATGTGTTCATGCAGTATTTCTATAATCTGAAGTAATCTTTTTTTGTAGCACAGTAATTATGTAAGGAGCTTGGGGGAAACATAAGAAGGGAGATATTCTGGGCTTCACAGTGGCCTCACTGAGGAAGTGACACTTGATATGAACAGCATAGAAACTTAAGGTGAAGGCTAAAATGAAAGGTTGGGGGCTTGAACAGTGGAAGGCAGAAGTTAGAGAAAACAAGGTAGGAGGATTAATAAAATAAAAGTGACTAAGTGTTGATAGAGCTTAACGAAAGAAAGAGAGGATTTATGCAGTTAGAAATGTGCTAGAATTGGTCCCCAGTGAGGCTTATGAGCTCAAATAAGAAATCTGGCTATATTTTCAAGTCAATGAGAAATAATGGAAAACTATGAGGTATGTTATTACCATTTCAGGAAGACTGGTCTGCCTGCAATGTGAGAAAATGCTTTGAAGGGGATATGCTTTGTTGAAGAGACACTTAGCTAGATGAGTTTGTAATACCCAGGACAGAAATAATGGTGACAAGTGACACAGATAGTGCAGAGACAGTCCTGGACATAGAAGGCAGAATAATGCCCCATCCCCATGATCATGATCTAATCCCTGAATTTTGTGAATGTGTTAGGTCACACTGCAAAGAGAATTAAATTTGCAGGTGGAACTACCACTCTAATAATCTGACATTAAGATAAGTTTATAAAAGTGAGTCTGGTATGATCACAAAGATCCTTAAAGGGGAGGAACAAAGCAGACAAGGAGGGTCAGAGGGCAATGTGAAAGGTGGAAGAAAAATTAGAAAGAAATACAACATTGCTGGCTTGTGTATGGAGTGTCTAAGAACCAAGTAATACTCATGACCACTGGAAGCTGAAAAAGATAACGAAATAGATTCTCCCTCAGAAGCTTTATAAAGGGACACAGCCCTACCAGCACCTTGACTTTCACCCACCAAAACTCATTTTAGGCTCTTGACCTCTAGAGCTGTAAAATAAAGTATATACTTTAAACTGCTAAGTTTGTGGTAATTTATTAAAGAAGCAAGAAGAAACTAATACACTGGAAATTCCAAGAGGCATATAGATGCAATGAATATTTGAGGGAGGATGGACAGGAACTGGTGACTATTAGGTGTATGGGATGATGGAGAAGAGGAAGTCAAAATGGGCTTTCAGTACTGGCTCCAGCAATTCAATGCATTTCACTGTATGTATAATATATAATATGGATGGATTGTCGTACATAAAAAAGGAACCAGTAGAGCAACAAGGGGGAAAACATGAGTTAAGTTTTGGAGATGCTGGATGTCAAGAACAGGAAGAATCCAGGAGGGTATTTGGAAGCATAGATCTGGAGCTTAGGGAAAGAATCTGGACTGTTTCACCATATTTGGGGTCATTGGCATAAATGGGAAATAAAGCCATAGTAAAGAGTGAGACCATGGGGAAATAGAAGCTTCTAACTGTAACACATTACACATCATTCTGAATATATTTCAGTCCCTATTATGTTGATACTACTCTAATATTCATGATTTTCTTTTTTTAATATTATGTTGTCACTCTGGTTAGTGTGAAAATCATCAGAATCTAAACAGATTTTCCTGAAAATGCGCCTTTGGTCAGTCCTGGTGTTAGATGGCAGAAAAATGAGATGGATGAATTGAAACAAAGTTGCAGAGTAGAATTAGATGAGAAAGTTCTTGGAAAGTTGAGGGTCTAGTGTGGAATAGGACAAATGAATATGTTAAATCCAACTGCAGATACATAGTCCAGAATCAGAAAGCCCAGATGAGAAGGAACCAGCATCGAAACATCTTGATCAGAGCAAAGGGCTTCAAAGGGTCTCAAAAATAGAGAGGGACAAATGGGAAACAAGTAATCAAGTTTGAAGGGCTGAGTTCACATTCAAAGGACAGAGATTGGAAGACAGATCCACCAAGAGGAAAGGACGCTGTAGCTACTGAAAAAGCAGATATAGTTGGATAAGGACTCAGGTCAAAAAGGTACAATCCTCAGTGTCTGTAGAATAGAAATGAGGACCAGGTACAGGATTATTTTGTTGAGCCAACGTGCTTGGAAGCCATTTTCTGTAGTGGGGAGTACTTTGAAGACCGTTGCATTTTTCTCATGGGTCACATTCAGAGACACTTGATTAAAGGACCCAGTAAAGGAAACTACATCAAGTACAACAGCTTGGGCACATAACAATTTTTCTTTCAAAAAACCTTTATTATTAGATATTGTGAACCATCTCGATTGTTTTGTATTTTTGACTGGATCCCAAGTGTGTAATTCAGGTTATATTGTCCCTAAAATCAGCATAGCTAAAAGCCTGATGCATCTTTTGTTCTTGATCCTGAGGCTGTGATAAATGAGTATCTATGCAGTGACATCTCTACAAGGGGTTGTGTGGTTGGCGCCATCCTCTCTGCAATACAATTTTTCAAATAGCCATTTTTCTTCCACCTATGACAATCCAGTCATTAAACCTGAATTATCTGAACATGGGTAGATATTTCTGAAGTACTTAAATGTCTATTATTACATTTACCAAGTTCTTCAGGACAGACTTGAGGCAAAGAAAAAAAAAGAAACTTTTCATGAGGAAGTCAATGAGAAAAAATCCACTCCTCTGATGTATATTCAGGGAACCATTTTTTAATTCTGCGGTCATCTTCCTTCTGTGTCTCCAGCTGTCTGTGTAGTGGAAACCTTAACAGTCCAATAATTACATTAACTCCTCATTTCAGCTGCAGGGCTTAAAAGCATATCCTTAATTAGTTGTCAGAAGCAAAAGATAAAATCAACTTTATTAAACCTACTGTTTGGGAAATTGAGGGAGGATATGAACAAAAGATTCTCTAATAGATTAATGTTGTCTCTGCCTTTGCCTATTTTGTCTCTGCATGTCCCCATTTCATTTTTTTGAGACAGTCTCACTATGTAACCCAGACTAACCTTGAACTCACAATCTTCCTACCTCAGCTCCCAAATGCTAGGATTATAGGCATACACCACTATGCCCAGTCTCCTTCCCACCTTCCTAAACCATTTGCCAATGACTGCCCTCCACTGCAGGTGAAAGATCCTGGAGTATATCCATGCTATGGTCTATCATTGTTGTTGTTCTAAAATATACATAACATAAAATTTACCATTTTAAGTATATAACTCAGTTGCATTAAACACATTCACACTGTTGTGCAACCACCCCAATCACCCATGCCATTTATTGTAAAATACTACTGTGGATAAAATACTACTGTGGATACTCACTTTTTTTGTTGCTGGAAAAAATACCTGACATATACAACTTAAAAGAGAAAAGATTTATTTTCACTCATAGTTTCAGAGGTTTCATTTCCTGGGCAGCTGGATCCAAGGTAGAAAAAACATGGCGAAAGGGTGTAGTGTAGGAAAGCTGTCCAAATTATGACAGCCAAGAAGTAGAGAGCAGAGGAAGAGTCCCTGGGGGAAGGGCAATAGTTCCCAAGGTCACTTCTCCATGACCCACCCAGATACACCCAGAAGCGACCTTCACTATCTTTCTAGGCATCCCCCAAGTCAATCCTGTTGAAAATCAAAATTAATCATCACAGGGAAAGACAAAGGACAGAGCCAAAGGTTGTTGAGTTGATAAAGGTGGAAGAATTCTGGAGTCCAATAAATCTGCTCTACCTTGGCCCATCCACCTCACATAATGATTGATGGCACTCCCACCATTAACTGGACCTGACCTTGCTCCCTACTGACTCTTTCTGACACCTTCCTACCTCACCCCTCAAAAGCCAATTCCAGTTCATAATACTAAGGTACAGCCAATGGTGAGCACTCGCTATGAGCCAGGCCTCCTTTTTTGTCTTTTCCTTGACTCCTCTCAACAATACACTGAGCATGTTTATTAATGTCACTTCCACTTTCCCAGTGAGCCTACTGAGGCAGAAGGGAGCAAATCAGTTTGCCCAAGGTTGCAGAATTTAGGTTCCGATTCAGGTAGTCTGGGGCCAGCTTTTAGCCACAATGCCACATTAAATGGGAAATTGGGCCACCTGTGAGACCATGAAATCATTTAATAAAATTCTTTTTACTCATTAAATCAATGCATAAAGAAAATTATTTAAGATATTGTTGCCTATCTTGTCTGTTTT